AGTGCACTAAACATAGTATTTCCTGAAAAATTTAATGAGAAATTCTAAAATACTTATTGCCTTTAATTCTCACACTTAATATACCATAAAATTGAAAATAAAAATAATTCTTAAAAATATTGTTGTGCATACAATGGTTAAATTTTTTTGATTTCACTCAATTCTCAATTTGATTGGAATTTGAGAATTCTCGATTTATGAGTTTAATTTTATTCATTAAAATTTAGTGAACGACGATTATTAGAATTGCGTTTAAAAAGTAGGAGTAAATATATGGTAAAAATTCAAAAATTGAATTGTTAAGTGAGATTGTGCTTACATAGAACCAATGGCTTTTGGTTCTATCAAGTGTTTACTTTAACACTTATTTGTACCGATTATATTTCAAATTTTTGTCCATAATCTAATATCTTAAATGTCGTAACTTTGATCATACTTTAATATCTTATTCTTTTCAAAGTATTTAACCAACCATTTGTAAACATGTTTAAAATTAAAAGAAAAATTTTCTTCTTGGCCAGCTTTTACATGTGTAGCTTTATTGCAAATTATAATAAATTTTCTTTTATGTTAATTATATTTAGATTCTCTGTTCAAATGAGTTAAAAAAAATATTCAATATTAAAGTGAAATTTCTTGGTCAGCCAACACTAAAGACTAATTCATACCAATTTATCATTGCAAATATAATGAATAATATATGTATGTGTATATGTAGGCGCACATGTACAAATGTTAATTAATTTCATTCACACTTTTTCTCAATTGCACAATAATTATTGTACTTGAATATCAATTATACGAAGATTTTTTCCATACACATATTGACATTTTAAATTACATACATACATATTTGTTAATTATATATTTACGATATTCAAATATAATTAAAAGCATAATTTAACACATTTAAATTAATAAATATAGGCCTAAAAATATATTATTAATGAATTTTATATTTCATGCGAGTATACGCCTATGCGCAAATAATAAATGTGTAGATATGTATGTACATATAATTAATATTACGTGCACTTTAAATTGAAGTGTCAGCAAAACGATAGAGAAATATACTGATTATATATTTATTATTATTTTAATTGCTGTTTAAGTTAACATTAGATGCGCATAATTGTAATTATTTACACATAAGAGCGTATATGATTATTACTATCGTATTATTATAATAATAATATGTAGGTCATTTGATTGTGCAGGTGAATGACTTCCATATAAAAAAAATAATGAAAAATATAAGAAAAAAGTGAAAGCGCGCTACGTTTATACTAAAATGCGTTATTTACACAAATAAAATAAATAAATAGTTAATTAAATTATTATTAAATTTTATCACAGCAAAATTATTTAAGACGTGCTGTTATAAAACAAATTGGTTGTAGAATAATATTCTGTTAAATATATGTATGTACACACATAAAACATACTGCTTCATACTGCTTTGTATATGTATGTATGTCGATTTTGTCAATAACGCATTTTCTGTTTTGTTGTTTCGGCAAATAGGCGGACAGTTACCGGGTTTCTGGCTATTAAATCAAAGTTTTTTGTTTTCTGTAAAAATTACCTATTTTACCTAACAAATTATAAAATTAGAAAAAATTATAAAATTAGAAGATGTAGAAGATATAGAGAGCTTCATAATACTTGAATTATATTTGTGGGAACAGTTTAACTTAAATTAAATTCAAAACTTGGAATAGACTCTTCCTTTTTCCAATTCAATCAGTTTGAAATACATTTATGTATGACATATGTACATACATACACATTTTGTAGAGTGTACAGCAATTTTTTATTTTCTAATATTTCTTAATATTACGTAATAATTTCGGGATGATTGCAAATCGCATATGAAAGTATGTACGTACATCAAATTTCTATACAATATTATTAAAATCTCTTTAATAGATTTTCTGACATAATCATTTTAAATATTACGCAGTTTAGATCGATGCTATGATCCGAGAATTACTGTAAATCACGTTTAAATCTAAAATTCAAATAAAAGATTTTATATTTTTTTAATTGATAAAATAATTATATTTATTTATTTAATTATATTTTATATAATATTATTGCTTTTATAATCAAATTATATATACAAAATATAAAGATTTTCAATTACAATTATTGTTGTATACATTAAAATAATTAATTAATATAAATTATTATTAAATTGAATGAAAACATATCAACATTTACACTTACAATTAAAAGAATTTAAATGGGTATATAAAATGATTTTTATTTTAAATATAATATTGAATTATTTAGTAGAATTACGCAGAGGTCATGTAAAAGAGATAAAAAAGTAAATCAGTTTTGATAGAGTGCGTATTTTGGGAACGAAAGCACAAATAAAATCACATGATGTAGATACAGAATTTAATTAAAATTTAAATATGTAAATATGAAGAAAAAAGAATGTGCATGAAAATAAAGCGTGTGGACAAGAATAACTCAAAACAGGAAAGTTATGCAATAAGAAGAAGAGAAGTACTTTCAATAATTTTAAAAACAAGGAAATATGAAGATTAAGGTATATTTTACTAACATTAATTATTTTTAGAAAGAAAAACAAATTGTTTACTACAAAGTTCAAGGACCGACTTATTAATTTCAAATTTTGTAAATTAAAATAGATGCATTATTAGCTTGAATAATAACAGATAAATGGTGAATTGGGATTACGATTCTTCAGACATTAAGAATTTAAGAGATTGTATGAATTTTATAATTCTTTCAATAAATCGCAAAGAATACGGATGGACCAATATTGAAAATAAAAAGTTTATTCATCAAATTCACATATATCTATACTTATAAAATTGAAAAGATCGACCCCTATATAGAAGCAGTTAAATTTAACAATAACTTCAATTGGATATTTCGGTTTTAAATCAATCACTATGTTGGAGTACAATCAAATCAATTACATGACCTTACTTAAAACAGAATTTTTACAATTTTGTTTTCTAGATGTAAGTTTGAGAAATTCTGGCATAAACTTATGCTTCATAGCTTCTGTTTTTGTATTATACCCAAAATAATTTTAAATTTTTATATATGCAAATATAATTGAACATACAAATATATTAAAAATATAAAAAAATATATAAAACCAATACATATTACATTTTAGATATTTTAGATTTCTAGCTAGAATTAGCTAACAACTAGCTTCTACTAGCTAGAATTTTTTGGAACTTTTTCTACGTAACATTCAACAACAATATTAAGCGTTTTTCAAATAAATTTTGTACATAAATTCATAGAATGCAGATTGTTCATATTTATATTTTGTTGAATTTAATTTAAATATTAATTTTCTAATTAAAATAAATATTAAATATTGAATTAACTAAAAACATATTTAGAGACCAAAAGATTTATTTTTTTTAATATTACTATTGAAAATTATCATGAATTTTCAAGAAATACTTTTTTTATAAATTTTTTTCCTAAATCGGATGTAAAATCACAAGTGATCGAGAATACAATCAAAGGGTATCATTGAGAAATCCAGTATATTAGACGTATTTGTTTATTAGTATACTCTTATTTTTGTAGTAAAGTAATACGAATACAAGTTTTAAAACAGAAAATATTTTAATTGTATTATGGGAGTATTTTAAAAGCAGAAAGAAAATTAAGAAATCGGTACGGTGATAAGATCTTATGATTTAATTAAATATTTTTAAATCTGAGAATGTGAGACCTAAGTTATGTTTCATTTTCAAAAGAATAAATAACTATAAATACGGAAAATGGAAATGCACAGAAATAAATAATCCTTTGAGATTTCAAAAACTGTAAATATGAATACAACCTATAATTTTTCTGCATATGGCCTTTTATTTCTTAATTTACCTTTAAAGTTTCATGCGAAATTTATACCAAAATCAATGAGAAGAATGAGAGAATAAAAAAATATTACCATGGCAGTGACAATTTTGAGTATAAAAACCTTCAAATCAGCATACTTTAAAGAACACAAATTTAGAAATTCAATTTTCACTCTAAAAAATAGACAAATTAATTTATGATCACTCTGTACTTTTCAGTGAATAATGATATAAATTAGATATGTAAAAAAAAATTTACTGTACTTGAAGAATAATTTTTTGTTTTTGTTGAACATTTTACATATGTACAAACATACATGAATACAATATGTTGCTTTTTATTATCTTTTATAATATTTTTTTTTTTTAATTAAATTCAATTGAAAATATTGTGGTACTGTATGTATTAGTATGTATATGTAGAAAAAAAAAGTATGTATGCATGTTGAATGTTAAATTAATAAAACAAAATTAAATAAAGAAAATGAAAATAATTTGTACTTAAACTTCGATACTTTAGTTTTATATACCACATAATAATTATGTTTGTATGTATGTATTGCTTTTATTATTATAACATTAATCTATGTATATATGTATGTATAAATTTTATTGCGTATATTATTTTGTACATTTGTTTTTTTTTTTTAAATTTAAAAATTTTTAATGCATATGTGTTTTATATAATATGTAAATTATATTTATATAATATACAGGGTGATTCAGTAATTGGTACAATATTAAATGCCATCATTTAAAAATATTAATGAAATATTGTTATTTTTACTGTATCACCCTGTATAAACATTTTATGTATACATAAGTGTATTTATGAAAAATATAAAAATAATATAAAAAAATTTTAATATTATTATTATGATGGGAAACAAGCAAACGAAATAAATAATAAGAATATGACCCCAAAACAAAAAAAAAAAAAAAGTTCCAAAAGGAAAATTTTTTTTTGTACATTTTATTATTTTTGTTCTATTCTAATATTTTAGTTTTTTTTTTTTGTATTTTCATATTTTTAGATTTTTAAAAAAAATTCTATTCTAACTTTAAATATTGTTGATTTTATTCTCAGTTCTTTTAATAATGTACTTATAGATAATGTGTAAATAAATTTATATATGTATGCATGCATGAGTGATGTATTATTTTCCAAAATGAACAAAGTACCTATAATGGAGAAAAAAAAAATTTTCCACAAATTGTAAACAATTTTTGTTTTTGTGTTGTTTATGCAATGAAAATTTTCATTACATTGTACTTTTTTTTATTGCGAGAGATAGAGAAAGATAGAAATGGATATTGAGTAACATTATTGAGTATTCGAGCATCCAATTCAATTTAAATCCTAAACGTATCTCAATCATATTTGTTGTATTTACAAATCTCTATTGCTTTTATACACTCAATTTATACTCTCGATTTCTTCTCCAAATTCATTTTTTTCTCTGTATAGTAAAATAAAAAATAAAAATTATTATGTACATTGTGTGTATGTATGTTAATTTATGTAAATTAAAATATGAAATATGAAAAACAAAAAAAAAAAATTTCGTTTTTAAATCAATTTTTTAACAAAGTTAATTAATTTAAATTTATTAAGTAAATTGATAAAAAATTATTGTAAAATTGAAATGAAAGAGTTGTAAAAATTAGTCGAGTTGAAAAGAGCTTTTAAGTATAGAATTTAGTACAGGCGCCTTAACTATGTAATTCGATTTTCGTATTCAGAAAAACGGTAAGGTAGCATAAATAAATTTTTATGGTACTGTATGTAATGTAAAACCTTTCCAGTAAACCGAATTACATAGTAAGGTCTCAGTTATGTTTTATAAAATTTAGGTTAGTTCTACTATTGAATATATGAATTTTTAAAACTACATATTATTATAAAACCTTATTTATTAAATACTTTATCCCATTTTCATAATGCTACAATAAAAAAGTGAGCAAAACGTAGTGATTCTCATATTATTATAAATCTTAATATATATAAATACAGTAAATGATAGCTGATGTTATTTAATTTAACGGTTCTCTGACAGCTAAATTAATATCTAAATTGCTAAAGGCTAAATTGAATTTTCAATAATATCGGTAAGTACAGAATTATGTATTAGTTAAGATTTTCTCGTATAATTTGGATGCTTACACTTGTGGCTTAATTAAACTCCTTTCTCTCTTTATTACAACATTATCTATACAATTCATGTTTAAGATTTTAATTACTTTTACTAATATAATAACCCTTGGCTTCAAAAATGCAGTAATTTTGTGTTAATACGCAATTCAGCAATTCATACTTATAAGCTGAATTGTGTATTAACATCGTATTACTCTATTTTAGAAGTTAAAGAATATCAAAATTAATTCCAAATAATAAGTATAAAAATAATTCTGCGTAATTTGCTTCTAAAGTTTTGCAGACATTTATTGCATATTATGAATATCTCTGTTATCAATATTTTAATTGACAACAAACATTAATTTCAAAATAAAATTTAATGTAAATATTAAATTTATCAAATCAGAATTTGTTATACAAAAAATTGACTTGGAAATTCCCTTAAAAATAAAAATCGTATGATTTTTTCTTTAATGTTATATTCTTGATTAATTGAATATTAATTTGCAATTCAAACATCATAATGAATTTTAATTAAATAAAATTCAATTAATAAAAAAAAATTAATATTCTTTACATTTTAAATCACGTCAGACTCCTCGCTTTCCGCCCCGTCCCGCATATAGATTTCACACTAATTTTAATTAAAAAAGATGTCAAATTATAATTTATATAGGCAGTAGTAAAATTTTCAGATTTTGAGCCTTCTAATAAAATAAAATTTAATTATTGTTTTAGTAAAGGTGAGTTAAAAGTTAAAAAAGGAAAACAAACAGAATAGAAAATTAATAATACAATATAACTATAGTCTTTTAAAATATATTTTGTATAATTAGTACAATATATAAATAATTTTTGTTTTTTTTTTTTACATAATAAGTATATAGTAAATTTAATAGCTTTATTTTACATTTATAGTAATGAAATTAAAACTACATTTTTTAAAAATTAAATGTAAAAATGCAAACAGGCACATTATTTTTTTAGTTATTCTCTTTATTTTTTTTTTATATTATTGTAGTTTTGTTTTTGTGTAGAAAAAATTTAATGCATTACTCATGAAATTAATATTTAATTAATTAATTTTTTTTTTGTTTTAAAACAAAATACAATCTAAAGGTGTGTTAATTATTTTCCTCCATTTGAATTGCAATAATTCATAAATAAATGGTAATTATAAAATGAATAAGTTATTGTGAGAGTTTAAGAAACAATTAAATTAATTTGCGTATTATTTTAGTAGCGGATTTATAAGAAATATGACATAAAAAATTAAACGTGATTAATTCTTTTAATAAAAATAATTTTTACTTTATAATTATTAAATTAATTAAATTCAGCTTCAAAATTTTCTCCAATAATTCAACGATATTGTTACTATCATTGCTTATATTTCCCGGGTATTACTGAATAACAATATGGATCCGTACAAGTGCAAGTAATAAAAATTTTATTTTAATATTTCTACAATATGTTTACAATATTGTTGTTCAAGAACACTGTTATTAAACGAAACTCAAGTTCTGTTCAAATTCAATTACAATTCGAAATTATTATAATATACTACAAATTTCGGAATTATTATAATAATTAATTGTTTATCGGTACTTTAATATTTAGGATAGTATTTTTTAAATTGGTCCATGTCTCTACTGCTATATTATGCAATTGCTTTTGAGAACATTTACTCAAATATACAAATTTATTATTTAATATATTTTATATCTATAATTTATTCTGATAATTTTATTAGTTTTTATAAACAAGTTTCAAATTTTTTCATAGAACTGCTCGTATATCAGTTTTTGAATTAAAATATTTCACAAAAGTTTGTTCCAAAGTTAATATTTCTGAATAAGTTCTAAATTATAATTAGTAACAAGTTTCAGTAAACTATTACGATATACATACCATTTTAGAATATAATTTAAAATTCAACTTCTACGTATAAACAGGAATAATACAAGAATAATTAAAGAATTTGGAAGTAAATAGAGACAAAAACAAAACTACATAATTTATACTTAATTGTTGTTTTTTTTTGTTTTAATACAGTCAAAATATTAAATTCTAAACTTACAATCATATTTTATACTTTCTTCTACTATAACTATATACTTTCTTTTAATATAGTATATTATTTTCAATTAATTTTTAGTAAATATTTTCAAAAAAAAAAAAAATAATTATTTTTTTTCTTTCATAATAAACTACTACTATTTTGTATTAAAAAAATATTTTATAAAATAATTATGAATTATAATATTTATAATAATAATAATATTATTAATTAATGAGCTAAATAGACAAAAAAAAAATATTACAAAATTAATTATTTAAATTTTAAATTATAAACAAAACAGAAAAAAAAAATAAATTTATTATTTTTGTTTCTCAAGTAATTTAATATGATTACTTAAATCATTATTAAAATTTTGAATATCATTATTACTTGTTTGATGTTGTTGTTGTTGTTGTACATTTGATGTTGTATTAATTGGTGTTGATGCAATTGTTGGTCCAGATGATGATGATGATTGCTGTTGTTGTTGTTGTTGCTGTTGTTGATTCATTTTTTCATTAATAAAATTTAAATATTGTGTCAGTCTTAATACAGCAATTAATGATGCTACATATTCTTGTACATCTTCTTTCTTTAATTCTTTTATTTGACGTGAAACTGTTCTATAGACACGACGTGCAACTTTATTTGATAAACGTCCAACTGTTTGTACTGTATGTAAAACTGGATCATCATTTGCTGATATTGGAACTATATTATGGAAAAATATAAATAAATAAAAGAATGAATTAATAAAAAATTTTTAATTTAATAATTATTATTAGTCAAGACTAAAAACTCGTAGATTTCGATTATAATCAATTGAGAAAAAGTATTCGATTTGAGTATATTTCTCGGATTGAAAAAAGTATTCGATAGGGCAATAAAGCTATAAAATTGTAAAATTTTAATAGTATGCAAAACACTGTGTATTTATTAATAAATACGCAGGATTTAATTTCTCATCATTGTGAACTTCAAATATTTTTGCATTTATAATTATTATTTTTCGTTATTGTAATTATTATTATAAAATTTCATTATTATTTCCATGAATTTTTGTATTCGATTTTGGAAATCGTTATCTTCAATATGTTCTTAAGTAATGATCTGACATTAATTCTTCAATATTAAGTGTTGTTAATCAAATAATATGATACACATTTGGGGAGTAGGAATTTCTACTTAAAAAGTCGACTTTCGTACTTATTATGTACGTAAAAAAGTTTTTTATTCTGGAATAAAATATGTTTTTCCAAAGAAAAGTATTAAAATACTTTTATTATCATTAATTATAATGGAATAAATAAAAAACCATAATTGATAACAATATTTTGTTAACAAACAATCTAAGAGTACGCACACTGAAAATATTAGTTCTTAAGCATTGTTTACATAATATGTAGTAGATAACATAGAAATTATGTTTCCAATACAACATTGTATAAATTTTAAGATTTTTGAACTCAATTACAAAAATTAAATATGGTTTCCTATAACCGGAAGTCATATGACATTAAAAAAAAAACAAACAAATTTTATTTAAAACTCACCATTATCACTTGCTTCTGTTTCATTTTCAATTTTTGGAAAATAATAATCTAATAATCTTTCAGCTAATGCTGATGTATTATCAACACCATTAACAGCCATACTACCATATTGTGTTGCTAATACTTCATTAGCTTTTTGCCATGATAAATCTTTTAATGATGCTGCTTTTTGTTGTCCAGCAACTCTTAAAGCACATATTGGTTGTACAACTTCAATTACTTTATTTTTAGCTTGATTATATATTTCCTGTGGTTGTTCTTTAATAATTGGTGCACATACTTCTAATTTATCGATACCTTTAACTAATGTTTCATCAACATAATGTATTGGACGATCAAATTTTGATACAATTGGTGCTGCAATTGGTGCAGCTGTATTTATAGCACGATGTACAGCATCTTCGGCAGTACGAAATGCCCAGTTCAACATACGATTATGTGCTGCAATAAAGAAGGAATAAAATTATTTTTTCTGTTTTATTTTTTTTTTCTTTGCAAAAATTTTTTTATGTTAAATTAACTACTTGTATGAAATCTGAGTATGTCCGTGTACGTATAGTATAGTAAGCATATTTAAAAAAAAAAAAAAAATAATATTGTGAAAGAAAAGGGTTAAAAAAAAGGGTTACGCTTAAATACGAGTAAAATGAAATAAAGAAGGAAATAAAAGAGTCAATGTTCTATGCTTTTCGTTTCGTATACTGTACAATAGGCAATAGAATGTTCCTAAATCTATGTATATTGTTTAATTGGATTAAAATAGTGAGTTTTATATTTTGTTGGCTTATAATTGTTATAGTAAGTGTAGGGAGGCATATACTTAAATACCAATATTATTTATATGGTTGATTCTATTTAAAAAATATATTTTTTGAATGGAAGAGATTTGTTTGAATTTAAAATATTTCACAAAATAATATTATAATGTAACGTGTTTGTTCTACATCTGCTTAGGACTTGAATTTTTTTTTGTAATTTATTCGACCACGTCAGTAACTACACTCTCATAATATTTTATGTGGTGATAACGAAATAGTTTTCAAACTTATTTATATTTTTATTACCAACTACCTATGCATATAGTAATCTACGTCTAAAAAACCAGACTATAAGAACAAAGTTCAAAAATTTTGTGACTATAATATTGATTACAAAACTGGTGATTTTCAAAAAATTTTTTTGCTTATCATATTTATTTTTATAATAACAAGTATATAATATGTTTCTTATCATAATCACAAAGGAATCACATTCAATAATTTAGAATTATTTATACACAAAAAAATTTTTCGAAGAAAAAAAAACTTAGAATCAAAGTTTTTAAATTTAATTTTTTAATTACTTTCAACAAGCAAGTCCTAAATTTTTCCATTTTTATTATGATTTTGATAACCGCATTTTAAAAAATAATAACTGATAACCACAATTCAATTGAAATTTCACTTTAAATAATTAAAAAATATTTAACTGTTATACGCCATTATCAATATATAGTCATGTGATATTATCAATTTAAAAATCAAACAATTAAATATTATTTTTAATTTAATTAAAAACTAAAAATATGTGTGAGTATTTATAAATAATCTCATATTATTTTTATAAACTTAATATCAAAGGTTATCAAAGTTTATAATAATAAAATAAATTATAAAAAAAAAAGGCAAAATTCAAAAAGTTCAATTTATTTTCAATAGTTCAAGTATTTGCAAATGTACTTTATAATTTGTACTTTTACTTGTACTTACATTTATGCTTGTACTCATGTATAACAATAGTTAAAAAAAAAATAAAATAATAATATTAATTTTAATATTGAATAATCTACCTATTGTACTTGAAAAAATTATTAAATTTTGTAATTGCAAATATTTCTAAACAAGTATTCGTATATCAAGTACATAGGTAGGTACAAAGTATTCAAAAGTACGTACATATAAGTATAAGGTACGTACGTACTTATATTTTTGACTTTTGATTAACCTCGAATATAATAGTTTAACTTGAATTTTAATTATAAAGTTAAATTTTTTATTTTATAAAATAAAAATATATTTAAGTAGTTTTTATAATTCGTTTCTAATTTGATTTTATTGAAAAATTTAAAAAAATTAGATTAATTATAATAAAAGTATATAATATAACAGATTTTGGTATGAGTATAACAATTTAAGAGCGAATCAATTAATGTTTCACGTCAATTAATGTATGTATATTTTGTTTTTAATTAAAAGTTCAAAATTTAGAGTTAGACTAATAATGACCTTTAAATTGCATATCATTATTTCCAATAACCCCGGCGTAGGTTCAAGAAGTAATTGAAGAATTTAAACCCGAATACAATTTAATAGTGCAAAATAAATAAGCCTTGTAAATTGGATTAAACTAATACAATATAAACTAAGCGCTCGAGTTCCAGATTTAATTACTTCTTTTTTTTTCAAATATTTCAAAAATTAGGTACTTCTCCAAACTACTGTGCCTCTTCAAACTTTTCTTCTGAATATTTTGGGTTATATAATTAATTTTATTATTTTTTCAATAAAATTTTATACCAAAAATTTTAACTTTTTTTTTTTTGGAAAATATCTTTTTAGAAATGTGGGACTTCATCTTTCTAAAGGGCAATATAAAATAATATTAGAAAATATTACTATTATTATACACAATAATAATGTATAACAATAAAAATTTATTATAAAAATTCTTTATTGTTATGATAGTGTTAATATTTATAATATAATAAAAGTTAACATATGCAATATACATAGGAAGGTACTTTGTTGTGTGGGTACAATTAAAATAATGATGAATCATTAAAAAATTTATAATTATTATTGTTATATTAAATTTATAACATGCTTATTATTAAATTGGTATATGTATATACAAAATTATAGATAATCTTGTGATTATTATTAACAAAACGATTTTAAAAACAATTATTTTAAAACAAAATGTTAATTTGTATTTTGACAGCAGTTAAACCTCAATTAAAACGTGTTTGTATAATACTAAATTTATTATACATATACTTATTATCTTATGTACAATATGTGCTAATGAACAACTATAAAATTTATAGCTCACACATTTCACAACACACATACATCTATTCTAATGTAAATAAAATTTTTTTTGCCCTTTGATCAACGAACAAAAAATCATGTTATTTTTCATATTAAACTATTCATGTCAGGGTTGGGAAATTTCGTTTTCTAATACAGAAATTTATAAGAAAACGTGGCATTAGTCATTGATTTTTTATAATTAAAAAATCATTCAAAAATTGAAACGAAATCTTGAAAATAATTATTAAGGGAATTCTAAATTTGATCTAAAAATATAAGAATTCTTTTTAAGTAGTATATTATATATTATGGGGGTCCGAAATTGGTTTTTCAAAATTACTGTTGTACCTAATATTATAAAATTATTTTGATTAAAAAATGTAGGTTCATAACGGAACGTGATGGTATACACACATATAACTTATGAAAATCTGAATACTTTTGAGTATCACATTAAAAGTAAAAAGTGTCATAAAAAATATACTCTGAATTTGAATACAAATTCTTGCCGCATAAGTTTGACATATTCTTTGACATTAAAACAAAATTGCAATCAAATTTTAATATTCGCTTTTTATGATTTTAAAAGTGATTAGCCAAATATTGGATATATTTTAATGTACAATATAAAAATTTATGAATTGAATCACCACCTGGTACATTAAATACAAAAACTCAAACTTACTTAAAATATGAATTTGAATTGATTATAAAAAAGTTTAAGTGGGTGGGGAAGTACAATGTATGGGTACACATTTTAAATACCTCCGAAACTATTTTAAGAGCAATCTTTTATAAAATTAAATTTAACATTGATTAATTATATACATATCTGAAATATTTCCAAATAACAAAGGAAAATGTGAAATATTTATTATTAATTAGGTTATATTTAAATTTATTAAAATGTGTTTGTAATTTCACGTGATTTTTGGAATGTGTAATACATATGTGTGTTTGTGTATTACGTAGACACATTGCGTTCATACAAATTTATGCATATTTCTATAGATAGGTAACTGAATCACTTCATTAATTAACACACTAATTAAGAAATTGTAATTGTAACCAATACCTAATAAAGTGGGATCAAAATATACAGTGTTAAAAAATATACTTTTGTTTTTCATTTCACAAAAAAAAAACAGTTATTACGAGTAATATAACAGAATATTTTTTTTGATTTCGGATTAGATATGGTTCAGCGCATTGCTAAATTAATCTCTAATATAAATTTTTGAATTATATTTTAAAAAATTAATTTTTTAATTAAATTTTTTTTTTAGTATATGTATTCATAATAATTTTGTTGTTTAATTATTTAACTATAATATTATTTTCTAAGTTAACATTTCGTTAAATATTAACTGTTATAATGATCATTGTGGAAACTAATATTTTTAATTTTTTTTTTCTTGGGTTTTATTTGGTTAAGTTAAATATCAAAATAAATTTTAAAAATTAAATAAATATTTTTAAATAATTTATTTATTTTAAAAAACTTTCTATTTGTTCACATGTTAGGGTACTATTTTTTGTACATATTTAATATTTTAATGTAATCACAAATAAAATATGCTTTATTATTCAAAAAAAAATTCCTGATGAGTACAATAAGTAATCAAGTAACTAATGTAGTAAATTAAAAAATATTTTTTCTTGTTTTTTGAATAAAATGAAATGAAATTATTTTTTTCTCGCCCGCTTATTTTGTTATTAAACTTAACTTACATTTTACAGTTTCATAGACATTTTGACTTTGTTGCCATGCAGCACCAACAACAGGTAACTGCATCATTCTTTCTAATGATTCCAAATGTGGTAATAAATTCATTGAATCTGATGTATCCATTGCATTGGAATTAACAATATTTTTTTGACTTTCTGATTCCATTTTTAATAAAGTATTTTTATTTTATTTTTTTTGAATAAAATTGATTTTTTTTTCTTATATATTATTTTTATAAAATTCCTTTTTTTTTTATTTAATTTTTAAACACATAAAATTTTTATAAATTAATAATTTTTTTGTTTTTTTAATTAATATTGTTCACAGAATAAATTAAATAACACAATAAAATTTCCTTCTCTTTTTATTTTTTTTCTTTCTTAATTTTATTCCTTTTAATGTTAACCGTACCGATACTCAATTTAAACTAAATGGTTTCTCTTTATAAAACCTGATTATATACTACTCTATATTGGTACAAGTTTACAGTTTTATTCTGAATAATAAAATTGAATAATATTGTATGATTCTTACGACATGAGGGTTCCTTTACTATTGACTCATTTATTGTTTAAGAACAAAGTTTAAAGTACTGTACTTGTATTATCTCGATAATACTATTAAATACGTACTATAAAAGTATATTGAATATTTTATTATGTGTGGGGAAATATAAAAGAGAGAAAATTTTATCAGTATATATTATGTATTTTATTTAAAATAAATAGCTATTATATGAATAACTTTAGTACTAGTCTGGTATATTTTTAGTTATGTTTATGTACATATATTATCATAATCCAGCCACTGTTAAGTCTATGTAAAATAAAATATTAAAAGGGAGAATTTTTTTTTCGGAGAGAGAGATATGAAAATTACATACAAATGTATGTATGTATGTATGTATGTATTTCAAATATATCATACAATATAACAATAGAACAATATAAACTTTTATTTTAAACTGAAAATATTTAGGTATATATGTACATATGTATTTATATTTTCTTATAAGATTACAAGGGAGTTATTTTTGTCATAAAATGCAACAGTGTGAATAATTTAACTTAAATTATTTAAGAATAAAATTATCTCTGGACACATTTTATAAATATTTCGAAATAGTAATTTTAAATAATTCAATAGTATTTGGTTCTACAATGCACATATGTGTGGAAGTATGTATGTATGTATGTATGTATATGGCAGGAAATTGCAAGTAATAAATATCATAGTACCGGAAAATTTGGCTTTTATGTATTACAAGAAAACAATCAATGATTATACTTTTCAATATCCATACTTATACATATGTATGTATGCTTAATATCCTGTTTTAATATACCACATATGTATGTATGTATATTGAACAAGTAAAGAATAAAATTTGTTATTTCTCCGACCTTCAAATAAACAAAATTTTAAATATTGTTCGAAATTCGGTAATCCATCATACATTAGAATTTTGACTGTAAATCAAATAAATAATATTTTATTTATTTCAGATTTGATTATTGCTTTAAAATATAAATCATTAAAATGGCAACGTTGTAAAGAACAGTTTTTGTTTTTTGTTTCATACCCGAAAGGGAAAATTAAATAGAGAGAATAAATAACTCAAAAAATAAACTGAATTCAATGGGAGAGAAAAATATATATATACTTTGATGATAGATAAACTATATTTATAAGGGAAATATGTATTGTGGAAAAAAATTAAGCAAAAAAAATAAAACGCAAGAGAAGAATAAATTTTTGCTCCGAACGAACTGTATAATGCAAATATGCAACATGTTACCATATTTTGATTTTAAACTTGACCAAGTGGAAAAATATAAACATAAAATGAGAAAATACGATTTTTTTTGTAATTTTGAGAATGTAGTGAAGTATTTGTGTTGTTGTGTTGGTGAATGTGAATAAGCATATGTACATACTTATGTACATATATTGCAATAATTCATATTATTAATCATTAAATTTTTCTTTATACTATTAATTAATAATATTTTTGATTATTTTGTTTAATGTGATATGACGAGGAATATTTAATAAACTGCATTTATTATGAAATTTTTTTTTTTTAAAATGTAAAATTAAATTTATTTTTTATGTATGTATGTATATATGAATAGTTTGTTGATACATTTTGTATGATTATGTGTAATTATAATTATTGCTTACATTTTTCTATATTTTTCAAAGCACATTTAAATCATATTACATACATATGTATGTATGTATGTACTCATTTTCTGCAAAATATTTTTCCGTTTCCTACATTTTTAATGGTTCTATCAAAATTCACTTCTTTATAAATGGCAAACCGAGTTCTACCAAAAATGCATCCTGCAAACAGAAAGTAAATCAGACAGTTCATATTTAACAATTGCATGATAGTAGCAATTTCCTGCATGACAGTTCAATGTTAGAAGTTTAAATTTATCTAATAAGCCTATGAAAATATTAAATTTTGTAGCAAAAATTTAATTTCTAGAAAATTTTTTAATTTCTAGAAAATTTGAGGCCTAAAACTAACAAAATCTTTAAATACGAAATAATAAAAGATTTTCATTTTAAAAAACAAACACACCAACATTACTAAAATTAAAATCATATTTAATTTTTATTAAAATTTTTAAAAGAATAAAAAACCATGTTTTTAACAAAGAAAAATTTTAAGCAAAAAAAAAAAAATTATGCGAGATTGAAGAACATATAAAATAAATAATAATGAGATAAAAATAGATTTCTGAGAAGCAGGAAAGAAAATTACAATCATAAATAAAAAGTACAAAACAAAACAAGAACAACAAAAAAAAAATACGATCAAAATTATTATTGCAAAATGAAATGAAAATTCTTTCATTGACTGACGGTATTAAAAATAAGAACAAAAAGGCAGGCCAAGTAATTCCAATAAACTTTTTTAAAGAACTTATCATCGAAAATCACATTGATCGCAACAATCAACATCATTATACCTTTATTTAAAAATAAGTCTTATTATTAAGACCATCATCATCGTAAATCATGATCATTTCATCACATTGCCATCATGCTATGCCATATGAATAGGTATGTATGTATGTCTATACATGTGCAGATACATGTTACCAACACGATATTTAATTTACAATATTATCTGGACTTTGAACTTTGTTGTATATTTATTGTAAATTATTTTTATTTTTAGTCTACTCCAATTGTGTATTATCTACGTGATACGTCTGAGTGAGATATTGTTGTAAGTAGTTTATAAACAATATATGTAGATACATACATACATATATAACATGTTGATATAGTAAATTCTATTATAAGTGCCGATATATGTATGTATACATCTAGTAACAGTAGTTCTCAAGTAACGTGCTGTAACCCCTCGCGGGTTCCGAAAAATTTGTTGGAGGGCGATGGAATTAACTTTTTAATTATTTATTTAATTCAAAAGTGAAAAATAATTACAAAAAAAAAAAAATAAAATTAAAGTAAAATTATATAATTTAGAAAACATTTCAATTTAGATCTTAATCTGTTTTAAATTAAGGTAAACGGAAACGAGTAAAATTTATAGTTTCGAATTGAAAAATTATCATAGAAGCAGAAGTAAATAAACTATGTATACGAAATTGCAAAAGATATGGGAAAAAGTTCTGCATGAATTTTCAAGGGCAAGCTAAGTAACACCAAGTAAAAACTTTTTCCTATGCATGTAATTTTTAATATGTAGGAAATAAAGGAAAAAAATAAAAATTTTATAAGGGAACATGCACTTATGGCAACTTTTTTTTTGGTATACTTGTACACTACTCATCTGGTGTTAAGTATGCTAGAATGAATAAGTAAATTTCTTTTGTAAATGGTACCCAAAATTTTTGAATTTCTTTACTTTGACTTCAAAACTGCAGCAGCATTCCATTAATATACAGGGGTTGGTTAATAGTTAAATCGAATTTGACTCAATTTGTGGTAAATTAATTAATTTTTTGAAAAACAGTTACAATATTGATGGAGATGCAAGGTTTATATCAAAAATAAAAAATTATTATTATAAAACAAAATACCTTGTAGATCGTCAGTACAAAAGTTTTAGAGCCACTGCTACATATAATCAGCGAGTATAAGTATTACATACATTTATACGTAATATTGTGGGTATACCACATTTAATCGATCATTCTCTTTACGAATTACCTGTTTTTTTAATTTCTTTTTTTTTCATAAGGTGATTCTGCTGATATTGCCTTCTTTTATTTTTCATCTAATAAGCATTATGCCTTTGGGTGTGTGTGCATTAAATTAATAGCATTTAAATAAAAATGATTCACTTTATGACTGAGAATGTATATACATATGTATGCATATATGAATATATTTTCTAACTATGATTGTATTATTAAGAAAAATATGGTTGGAATGCTTTTTTTTTATAAAATAAATTTTAGCTACCTTTAATTTTAGAATACGGAAATCCAAAAAACGTGTGATTCAATAATATTCAATGTTAAGAAAAGATCAAAGGTTCAAAATTGTTGATTGTTGTGTCTCTTTGATTGCAAACACATACATACACACGTACATACGAACGTACAAGCACATAAATTTTATTGAAAGTGGAAAGGGAATTGAATTATGACAAATTTCATATTAGAAAGAAAAATAATATTTTGTAATTTTGTATATGTTTGTGTGCATGATTAAAAATTGAAGTATTTAAATTGACAATATTTTAGAGTTTTTTATTGTATAATTGCAGTGCTATTCTATGCTGTAAATGAACTGAGAACCCGACAATAAAATAATTTTTGGTGCACATACATTTATGCGTCAGGGATCATGATACAGAGATTTATTCTAAGAAATGAAAAAAGTGATAGTGGTAGGTGGAAGTTTCTCGAAAAAATTTTTGACATTTAAATATTCACCCATATTTTGTTAGTCGCATCACGTGATGGAATGATGTACAGACCAAAATCAATTTCGATTTAACACGAAATATCAATTCCCTTATGGAAGGTATTTAATTCCTGTACGGAAAAACCAAGTTAGCGCGGAGGTAATAGTTGGTCTGTAGGAACAGTTTTATCCGTTCAGAGTTTAGGTGATTTTTTAGGGTAGGAGTCACGCTCCCCCACTGTCGGAAGAAAAAGGCCGAAAGGGCCGTCCTTCTTCGTCTTTCGAGATTTTTCCACTTAAAAGAAAAAAAAAAATTTGGGCATCTACAATTTATAATTTTCTTATTAGAAATAATTATTTCTAAAATGTAATTTTTAATGATATTACAATTCAGTCAAAGAAGTTTGAAATTTTGTGATGAATGGATCAACAAATTTGATAAATTGTCAAAACAACTAATTGATTATTAAACTATAAATGAATCCATTTATGTAACTGTTGTACCAGGAAAATTTTGAAACATGCCAATTTCGGAACGTATTTACCGTGCATTTACCATCCCTGAAATAATTCAATTAGGATTCAAAAGTATTATAATACAAATATTATAATTGGCTTAATTAAATAGACACGTTTTAAGGTCAAAAATGTGTCAGGT